TTAACAGTTCAAATATGACTTTTTGGGCAATTATTTCTGGTGGTTTAAATTCTGAGCTACTAGCCAATAGTGAGTGACAAGGTCTACCAGACTGCATACCATCTATACTTCATTAATTCACGATGCTTGCTTATATCTCTAAAACGCAGGGAATTAAAAGGCTTTTAAACTATGTACCCGTTTCCAGGTGTCTACTGCAGTCGGGAGGTAAGATCTTCCCGCAGTACGTGCTGATGTTTGGGATGCTTGTGCAGTCACAGACGCTGGTAGAGGAGAGTGCTGTTCAAGGCACAGAGCATACTCTGGGCTTAAACATAGCCCCTTTTATTAACCAGTTTCAGGTAAGTGTCTAGAGGACTGTTCAGCCAGGATGTCAGTGTTCCCCAGTGACTTTGTCTCTCCTTTTGAGTTTTTACCTAGTTAGCAGGTTTAGTTAGATAAAAAGGGCTGTCAGTTTCTTGGAGTAAAGGAACATGTCAGGGATGAAAACCAGCCAGAGGGTTAGAATAACCAAGGACTTTTGTCATGAATACTGACGAAAGTTAATAGAGTTTGCTCTAAAAGAAGAACAAGAGGTTTTAGACATGCAACAAACAATTGTACTTTTGTAACAGAGAAGCATCCGGAAGACTGTATGCGAAGCGTGAACTTCTGTATTGAAACTTCAGATTGGCTTCTGATTGTCATGGGCAGCTGGAGCGCAGGTCTGGGCCGTCTGTCTTCGTAGCAGGGATGTGTGGGGCTCAAGAGGGAAGGAGTCTGGATTTAGAAAGAGGGTGACACCAGCACAGGTGCACATGTGTGCATTTAATGTGTGTCTAGATAGAATGCCCGGGAAGCCACGTGGGCTTGACGATGGCGTGAAGCAGGATGTTGACTACAGAGTTGGAGAAATGATGTCTGGAGGCTCTAGCTAGTAAGCTTTTGAGGATGCCAGTAGTCTTCCTTGACAGAACCTACATAAGGAATAAACTAATCAACTACTTTTTGGTGAGGAGGTGAGAAGTGGCTAACCAGGGTTTTAGAGTTAGTTTAATATCTCTCTTGTGAAGATTTAATAACGAGGATACACTTAGCACAAGTCAGAGACGTTGAAGCTGTTTGTGTGCATGGTCCCAGACTGCCACCATCTATTTTTCTATTGTAATATTTTAAAAGAGTTATTTACTTATTTTAGTGTGTGTTTGTTTGTATGCATGTGTATCTTGTGTGTGCATTGCTCATGTCGTCTAGAAGAACAGATAAGATCTGGAACTAGAATTACAGATGGTTGTGAACCATCATGTGGGTGCTGGGAATGGAACCCTGGCATCTGCCAGAGTAGTAAACACTCTTAACTGCCGGAACATCGCCCCAGTACCTATCTTTCTATTTTATTCCCACTTGATCCTGACTCCAGCAGCTCTTAATTCTGTCCGGGTCTACAAGACACTGGTCCTGCTGCCTTTTCACAGTATCTCCCACTCGTGACCACTCTTCCCTTTGTGGTCTGTATAGTTTTCATAAAATGTAAGTAGTGTGCTCCATCTCCCAGTGTTTTTGGGCAAGCATGCCTTGGCTAAGTCCTACCCACTGTGTTTCTGCAGAACATACATAACACTCTACAGTTGGCCCGTCACTTGACCACTTATCTAAGGACACTCCGTAACCTTCTTGGCAGTTTTATATTTTAGACTCTGTTTACCCATTGTCGTAGGTATTGTCTTCTCTCTTACGATGATTGACCACTAGAAAACTGTGTCAATCAATGAAACAAAATCCGAGGCTATTAAAAGAATCTAACACATTAACAACTATTCAACAGGTACTCATTGAGCACCTACTGTATGCCCCGTTCATTTTATTGTTTATTTATCTTTTATTTCTTTGAGATAGGGTCTGATGTAGCCCAGAGGGCCTCAGTGTGTAGCCAACGATAACCATGGGCTCCATCTCCCAAGGGCTAAAATTGTAGACATACGGCACCATTTCCGAATTGCATGTATATATTAGTTACTAGCTGCTACAATAAAACACCTGACAAGCGCACCTTAAAGTAAAGGTTTGTTTAGGCTCACAGTTTGAGGAACATCGTCCATGATGGCAGAAATTTCCATCTCAATCTTCTAGTAAAAATAGGCAGAAGGGAAATTGAAGAAGACGCCCAGTATCTACCGCTAATCTCCACTTTTATACCTGTGTAACTTGTGTGCATATGTGTGCAAGAGTATAGACGTACAGAAATCCACAGAAGCTGTGGAGGCAGGCCCAGGCAGTCAAACTCTAGTGCCTTTCCCAATGCTGGCGTGGTAGAAGGAAGCATGTACCCCCATGAAGTCCTACCCTGTTGTACACACCCTCCAGGGAGGACAGAGTCATGCTTCCATAAATGAGCAGCCTTACACCTCTAATATGTCCAATATGCCACCTTAGATTAGGTCTAGAATGTTTCCCTCATACGAGGCTTGAACTAGAAAAATCAAAAATCTGCCATCACCGTGTAGATTTCTACCAATTCTGCATAACAGGTATCCCAGTATAAATCCAAGGTATACGATGGGAGCAGGATCTCCCTATGAAAGATGGATGAAGAGTATGGCCAGCGTGGTCGACCTTCAGGGTCCCCCATATACTCCAGGGGGACCATGAACAAGTCAGCAGGTCGGCAGCCAACCCAGAGACATCAAATTAACTCTCACTGCTGACAGCCAGGCAGGGGGATCCCAACAAAGAGTCCACACCCGTTCAAACTACTCTTCTACCACAGCCAATGAGAAGAGCATCTAAAACTGTGAGCCTGACAGGGAAATTAGGACTCTTAACAGAGAAGGCAGTGGGCACCATGGATTTGCCTGCTGTGGATAGGAAGCCTCCTGACCTCTGTTGCCTCTGATGATGAAGGAGGTTGGTAGATTGACTCAGGTCAGCAAGAACAAAAAATGGTGGCAACTTACAATGGGCACATCAGTCAGGGTTGTCAGCTCCTTGAGAAAACAGAATGCCCATAGTCTCTGCCAGACACGTTTGGTTTCACCAGACATTTTTGGAGCTGATGCGTCCATGAAGTCCCAGCCTAAAACCTGTCCTTACTCTCCTTCAGGGTCAGGGCTTAGACAGGGACTGCAGACTCTTTAGTCAGCCAGTTGTTCCTTGGCAGAAAGAGGGCAAAGCCTCCAGCTCCCACATTAGCACTTTATAGTCAGATACCCTCCTTGCCCTCAAGACCTAGAGGGTACCATTTCTGATTCCAGAAATGGAATCAAATGACTCCAAACCCTGGATAGCTACCCAGTATGAAAATCTCTGACATGGTCATGCCCCATGGGGTAAATCCGGATCCTCAGGCAGTGGCACAGGGTTGGGCAGTGGGATGATGTAACAGCCTGCTTTGAAAAAGTCTCTTTGGTGACTGTTAGGAATAAAATACTTGTGAAGCCAGTCAGAGGCATAATCATAATAGTCAGTGAGCGCTGGCGGCTTAGACTGGAGCTGGATAGACTTTAAGATAGGGTTTTATAGACTGGATATAGAATATGAGAGAGGACAGGAAGGGTAGTTCTTATTTATTAATGCAGGGAAACAGTGGAGTAGTCAGCTGTATTGTAAGAGGTGTCAGAGGGGGTCATTGAGCAGCTGGATAAGGATTCAGAGAAAACTAGGCTGAGCATGTACGGTTGGCCCTCGGTACCATAGATGTCATTAAAGCCACAGAGTGGGTGGCCCATTAGGGGTGTGCAGAGAAGGGTTTGAGAAGTGAGTGTAGAGAGCTTGCAAGGTGCTGCACCCTAGTGTGATGGCGACAGGAGAGCCTAAGAGGTTAGGCTGAAACAAATGTGGGGACAGACAGTGTGGCACAGTAGAGCCATGAGCCTTTCAGTCCAGGCAGGGAGAAGTGGGAATGTGGTTCTCAGTCCTGGCATAAGCAGGAGTGCCCAGCATAAGGAAGACTGAGTGCCGGGGAGATTGATGGCTCTGGCCAGTCTCACGTAGATTGCACTCAGCCTCTCAAGAAAGGAAAGCTTCTTATAAGCAGTGCCATCTTTTTAGTTCTCTCAGGGAAGAGGCTTCAGAGTCCTGGGCCTGACAACAGCTTGGCATGGTGTATGTATGCCCTGAGCAGCTGGGGCTTTCAGACTCCCCCAGTGACTTGAGTTTGTAGCCAAGGTTTGGAGAACCACAGCTTTGTAGAAGAGAGCTCATTTTTCTGGGTGAATCTGTTCAGATGAATTTGTGCGCTGTTTGTTTGTTTATTTGCTTGAGACAAGATCTCATTGGGTAGACTTGGCTATCTAGAACTCACTATTAGACCAAGCTGGCCTCTCATAAAACTGTCTTGGCCTCTATCTCTGGAGTGCTGGGATTTAGGACACGTGCTAACATGCCTGGCTGAATTTGGTGTCTCTGATCAAATACAATAAATACTGTTAGATTTTTTGCTTGTCATTACATATGTTCAAGGTATAAATGTTTTTGGAATGGTTTGGCCACTTGAAAGTGTAATGTTTCCATCCAAGAAAAAAGTCTGTAGGTAACAGAGCACAGCAAAGTGCCAAGCCTGCCTACAGCCCTTAGCTTGTCCAGTCCTCCTGACAACTGGCCATGAGGCTTCATGCCTTAGGACTGATTCATAAAGTAACGAGGCCAGAGAAAGCATGGTCAGAGGAGCTGGTTACAGATCAAGGACACGGGGAGCCCTGGCTGTGAAAATGATCAAAGTGAAAGTGGCTCTCTTTTCAGGTCCCTATCCGGGTATGTCTGGGTTTATCTTCTTTACCATGTGTCCCTTTAAGCGAGCCAGTGGAACTGTTGAGATTAGATCTGATGACTCCATATTTGAACACTTCCAATAGAGAAGTAAAGGTAAGGACAACTACAAATGATCACTCTCGTCCTTTCAAGACATTTCCCCTAAACGAGGGGTACTATCTTTACATGGGCTATCATTTCCTTTGAAGTTAAGTCATGTTTTCTAAGCAAACATAGATTAGATAAATATTATGTCTAAAATTAGTTATAATTAAGTTAGAATGCGTGGTTAGATATATTTTTAGCTTTTTTATTCAAATTGATTAAAAAGAAAAACAGATTTACCTTTCCTTGAAGGAATGTTCAAAACTTACTTCCTGCAGGTCCGAGTGTGCAGATCTGGACGCGTGACCGCTGTTCCATTTTGGTTTCATTTGTGCCTGGATGACGAGGTCAGGTTGGACACCTCAGGTGAAGCCTCCCACTGGAAACAAGCTGCAGTGGTTCTGGATCATCCCATCCAAGTGGAGACGGGAGAGGAACTTGTACTTAGTGTTGAGCATCGCAAAAGCAACGTCAGCATTACTGTTAAGCAGTGAGACTGGAATCGTACAGTGAATGTATGAAAATCCTTGGAATCATCAAAAATCTGTAAAGGGTTGCCTCAATAAAGCCCATGGTAAAAGTCTTAAAGTGTATGTAACATTATTTTTAAAATGTAGACTATACTTTCTAGACAAGGATATGTCTTTTGTTTCTTTAGATTAGGAATCCATTGTGTTGGGACTTTGTCGTGATTTAGAAGGTGTCTGCCTCTTGGTCATCTCAGTTAAGCAAATGTTTGAGGGGTCCAGATCTTGGCTTACAATGGGGCAATGTGTAAACGTGTGGCAGCATGGCTATGAACCAGAGCCTACTGTTAAGTACTGGGTGTATCAACGAGCGGAGGGCGTAGGGAGAAGTGTCCTCAGAAGGCAATATTTCCTTCTCTACTTTGGCAAAAAGAAAATTAAACTGATGGCAAACATGCTTAAAAGTGCTAAAGGAGAATTTGTGTAAATTCAAATTTTGATTTGAATGTCCTGTTGCAAAGCTTTGTAACTTCATGGGAGCCCATTTTTAATCGTTGATATTATTTTCTGAGTGGTCTAGCACATTTCAGAAAGTCCTTGCCCTTGTGTGCATCTTTGTCCCCGTCTCCCTCTCTGTCTCTGTTGGGAGCCGACTCTGAGCAGAAAGCGGCTATCATCTTTGCAGCCATCTTTGCGTCTCTCATCTCTCTGTCCCCACTCTCTATCTTGCTAGACCCTGACCCACAGATTGAAGCAGCAGCTCAGGCAGATTCAGGGTGACCCACAGACCGGAGCAACAGAACGGGCCATTACATGTCTCTGTCCCTATCTCTCTTCTTTTCTCCTCTCTTTCCTTTCTGTGTTCCCTCTTTCGTACATTTATTTTTGGACAGGGCCTTATGCATCCCAGGCTGGTCTGAAATTAGCTACATATCTGAGGATAACTTTTAATTTCTGAATCTTTTATCTCTACTCCCTCGATGTTGCCATTTACATTTTATGAGTAAACTGCTGGGGACCAAGCTCCGTGCTTTGGGCACGCACGCTAGTCAAACATTTTGGTAAGCTGCATCCCCATCCCTTGTGTGTCTACTCAAAGAACCAACTCAGCCTCACTCGAGCTCTTCTGTTTCATTAATTTCTGCTTTCATCTTAATAATTTCTTTTCAACCACTGTTTTGGATCTGACTTGTTCTTAGTTCTTCAAGACTCTAAGGTGCATTGTTACTTATTCAAGAACCTCTGTTTTGTTTGTATGTATGTATGTATTTATTTATTTATTTATTATATGTAAGTACACTGTAGCTATCTTCAGACACCCCACAAGAGGGCATCAGATATCATTACAGATGGTTGTTAGCCACCATGTGGTTGCTGGGATTTGAACTCATGACCTCTGGAAGAGCAGTCAGTGCTTTTAACCACTGAGCCATCTCACCAGCCCTGTTTGTTTGTTTTTAATGTGGGCATATTTACCTACAACTTTCTTCTTGGGAATGCTTTTGTTATGCCCCATAGGTATACGTATGTTATGTTTTCCCTTTGCTTTGATTCTAAGCTTTTTTGCGTTCTTGATTTCTTTACTGACTCTGCTTATTCAGTGGTGTGCTGTTGAATTTCCACAGGTTTGCATGCTCTCTGTAGCATTGCAAGTCTTGCTATTGACTTTTAGCATCGTGATCAAAATAAAAGAAGTTATTTCAAGTTCCATATGTTTATTAAGGCTTTATGTCCTAGTACATGATCCATTACGGTCTTTTTAGAGTTAGTTCTGTAGGTTGCTGAAAATGTCTATCAGAAGTGTTTAGATGGACTGTTCTGTGTGGTCTATTGATGTATGATGTCATTTAGCTGAGGTGTTCACTTTTTGTCAAGAAGATCTGTTAGTGAGACTGGAATATTGAAGTCACTCTCTGTGTGTTGGGATTAATTTGTGACTTTTTTGTTTGACTTAAAACTTTCATTTGTGGGCTGGATAAATGGCTCCCACAGGCTCATAGGGAAGAGCCGTCTGTGCTCTTAATCACTGAGCCATTTATCCAGCCCACAAATGAAAGTTTTAAGTCAAACA